CGGCAGAAATCATCGATTTTCAACTTCTGCTCATCGTTTCCGTTCCGAAATGACTCATATTGAAGGGCATTCAAAAACCGGAACACACCATCTTAGATTTTAGAGATTCGTAAACCACCATCTTGGATTCCAAAATGTTGCCAATCACCGATTTCCGGTCTCTACACGTTGTTTCCTATCCGAAAACACCCGTAATCTAAGATATTTTACAGTTTTCCATTAACCGGAAGCCACCATCTTGGATTCCAAAATGGCGTCAATCATAGGTTTCCGGTGGCTACTCGTTGTTCCCGTTCCGAAAATACCCGTATGATAGGGTATTTGAAAATTTTGCAAAAACCGGTAGTCGCCATCTTGGATTTTAGAAAACCTGAAGCCGCCATCTTGGATTCCAAAATGGCGTCAATAAACTATTTCCGGTCTCTACCCGTAGTTTCCGTTCCAAAATTATCTAAATGATAGGGTATTTGGCAGTTTTTTTCAAAATCTGCACTCGCCATTTTGGATTCCTAAATGGCGTCAATCATTGAATTCCGGGCTCTACACAACCTTTTTTTTCAAAAACCAGAAGACGTCATGTTTGATTTTAGATAATCGGAAGCAAAATTGGATTCTGAAATGGCGTCGAAAATCTGTATTAAACCACAATACACTAATGTACCCTACATTATACTTTCCATTAGAGTCTACCATTTTCCACTCTCCAAAATCAAAAAAGAATAAGAACCAGCAGCATTACGGACAAACTTTCGGATCTATATAAGATAGATCTTGTATACTTGTATGTCACCGACGAACTAGCAACAACCGGTTGAAACTAACGATTTTAAATTGGCTCACTACTTGACTATGCTATTGGTCCCAAGCAAACGATTAACGTACCCCATTCTAGTCGAAATTCTAGTACTACACTATGTTTGTTTTGATTTGCTATAAAATTTTGACAGATAAAATGAGGGGTTCGTGGATTTTCCCGAGGGGGGCGACACATCTATATCTCAATTCTAGATGCTCAAAAAATCTCACACTAGCGAATAAATCTTCGAAAAATCTTCTTTCATCTCTCGCATCACCTTGCATCGCGAATCATCTTTTTGCAGGAAATCTTCAAAATCGTGATAAATTTTCTTTCTATCTACTCAGCGTACGCGCAGCTAAACACAATATTTCCTGCATATAGAGTCGTCCCCCTCGGATTTTCCTATGTTTCGAGGGGTGCATCGATTTGCTTGGGACCGAAAACAGTAACAGAGCTGAGCCAAAAAGTTTCTTCAGGACCTTCTGGTCTTAAAGTTACCTCTATGCTAGCACCGTGTAGTGAATAAATTTTCACCCTGAACAACTTTGCCGAAGACAGAAACTTTCTAGATGGCCAGGATTCCCTTTCACAGATTTCAAAATAGAGTACCTAACTTTAGATTGACCCCGCCTTTAGAAAATGAGCACCAATTATGTTAGGCAGTCCGAATGACCGAAGTAACAATCATGTACCCATAATTTCAACAACCATGGAAAACAATAGAAAAGGGCCCATCAGCATTTGTTAACAAACCGTTCCAAAGCCCTTTACTCACAATACGAAGGCCACCCACACAAAACAAACCCCATCATCGGATAGGGGAAACTTCTACCTACACGATTATGGTGTTGGTTTGTGTGAGCGGCCTTCGATTTGTGAGGAATGGGCTTTGGAACGGTTTGTTTACAAATGCTGATGGGCCCTTTTCTATTGTTGATCCAACTATGATTTTTTTAAATAAATGAAATTAAATTTGGATGGGTGTTTTTGTATCACATACAATGATAGAAGAGCAATAGTTTGTATCGCTTAACTCGATTTGTTTACATTTGTTACATACGACCTTTTGAAAAGTGACGCGAGAATTCGGTTCCAAACATCAACAAACTAGAGTCGGTGTATAATGAGTCACGCCAAGAGGGAAGCCAAGTCTACCTATTGAACTGTCAAAACGGCTACCTATCGTGTAAAGTAAATAAACATTACGATGCTATGAAAGGTCCACGAAAGGTATTGCAATAAAATATAAAATATAATCGAAGAAATGAGCATAAATACGCAGTGAGCGTAAAATGGTCATGAGATACGCTCGGTAATGATTAGTAATGAGAATTTCTACTATTTTTTGTTAAGATAATTTGACAAAATCACTGATATAATGATTTACTACAGCCGCAATATATTTTCTCTCGCTAGAAGGCATTTGAAGTTGTTGTAGAAGTCCTCTGTTGCCAAGTGAAAAGAATTGGAATCTTTCGAAAACCGTGATGCGAGTTCAACTGTTTTTCTCTTGGCATGACTCATTATACACCGACTCTACAACAAACCATCGTTGCTTAAAGTGGACCTGAAGCGAACCCCACTCGTATCAATATATTGACGCGAAGGGGAATTATTGACAATAATATTAATGATGTGGAAACAGAAATATTGTCAATACCGATGTATTGACGTCATATTGAATTTATTGACAATACGATCATTGTCAATAAAAGCAATTGTGTAGGGTCCACTTGACAATGACAATGTATTGACAATAATCGTATTGTCAAACCATTCAATATTGACTTCAATACATCCGTATTGGCAATATTTCTGCACTCACATCATCAATATTATTGTCAATAATTCCCCTTCGCGTCAATATATTGATACGTGTGGGGTTCGCTTTAAGGCTTCGTTTGGAACCAGTCATGAGCATAGTCATGGCGGATATAATCTCGGGAACCAGTTTAGCTGTCAAATAGAGAAACCAATCGAGCAAATCACGACCAACAACAGAAAAGAGCAAATCAGCTATTGCGAACAAAATTTCGGAAACCCTTTTCTCGTGACTCAAGGCTTGTCTACACAAACTAGCTCCATCTTAAGATTGGGGAAAGTTTCCCCTATCTGATGATGCTGGTAATTTACCTTCGATTGGAGAGAAACGAATAATCAACGTTTTGTTTATAAAGGTTGATGATACCTTTTCGATTGTTGTTCTACAATATATTGAATTGACCACTTTGTCAAGCAGTTTTGGTGTGACTTTCTATCAGCGATTTCACAAAACTGGACCAACTAATTTCTATTTTTTTTGTGAAACGCACAAATGTTGGCTATTTTTTTTTCGAGGTTCTAGAAGAAAAAATCTCAAAATAATGTTTTATTTCAAAGTTCGAGTGGTAGTAAACGTCATTTTATCTGCTCGAATGAAGTGGTTAATTGGTTCCGCTGTTTGATAGATCAAAATTCTATCTGCCAGACTATGAATATAGCGACTATAGTCATGCGAGGTAGGCGACGATTGTTCGTATTTGACAGTCACATCCTCCCCCCAATTGACCACTTTGTCAAGCAGTTTTGGCGTGACTTTCTACCAGCGATTTCACAAAACTGGACCAGATAATTTATATATTTTTAATGAAACGCACAAATGTTGGCTACTTTTCTCGAGGTTCTAGATGAAAAAATCTCAAAATAATGTTTTATTTCAAAGTTTGAGTGGTAGTAAACGTCATTTTAAGTGCTCGAATAAAGTGGTTAATTCTAAACAGCTTGAAGCAACTTAAGATCTTTTGAAAAAAATGGTTAAGGCCGTTCGCAATGCTGTTGTATTTTATTAGGACTGTTTCAATTTGAAACTAGAACAGAAACGTACCTCTCGCAATGCTGAGTTGCAGTTTCATTATTCGAGCACTATTTTGCACCAGATTTGCAACTGCTCGACTATTATGTTTTATTTCTGAGCGAGTTTGAAACACGAATGGAACTCTGTTTCAAATTTCTTTGGATGTGTTAAAGATGTTTCGAAGAGCTTCACAAACAAAAAACGGAGAACTTCATAGAGAACAGTACAGTTTATGGAACTTGATGATTACAAACATCTTTTAGAACTGTGCGTTGCGCTGATCGCGTTGCAGTTTTATTTTTGAAAGTTTCAAATTATAGAATTGACGAATAGTTTAAAACAATTTTGAAACTCAGCATTGCGAACGGCCTAAGGGCAACAATCAATACGAAACTAACGATTTTATATTGGCTCACTACTTGACTAGCCTATTGGTCCCAAGCAAATCGACTAACGTACCCCATTGTAGTTAAAATTCCAGTACTACACTATGTTTGTTTTGATTCGCTATGAAAGTTTGACATAAAATGAGGGGTTAGTGGATTTTCCTGTGTTTCGAGGGGTGCATAGATTAGCTTGGGACCTCGCTTGGGACCGAAGATAGTACCAGAGCTGAGCCAAAAAGTTGAGCTCATTTCTTCGGGACCTTCTGGTCTTAGAGTTACCTCTATGCTAAGGGTGTGTTAGGTATGTCCGTTATTCTTGACACATTGAATGTAAACGGTCAGTGTTTAAGGCCGTTTGTTTTCGGCTAACATTCATTATACATGAACATTTAGTGTTGATGATTAATAAACATTGCCAGCAGCTTGTGTCACTTTTTCTCGAGTGAGTGAACTCAAATCCATCGGTGCCGAGGGGGAAGACGGCTTTCATTTGAGTACCTCTTTTACACAGAGTTGCTCAGAGCTACTCTGGTTTGCTCTGGGATCTGATGTAATTTGTGACGAAAACAGAATTAGTAGGGCATATAGTTTTGGAATCTAACCATGCAAATGTCAGTTCGATAACGAAACGAAAACAATGAATGAAGAAAATAAATGGATGCAATATTTAAATATGGAAATGATCTCGTTTGACCAGTTCATTGAAATTTTGGCTATTTCCTTAAATCACTCTGATGATGGCTTTCTGCAGGACGCTTTTCTCTTTGCAATTGTAATGAAATTGACAAAGATCGGTGCACTCGTCCATTTGAAAAAAAAAAGGTCAGCACTTAGCCCGGTCCTTTCCAGAATGTTTTTCATTGTTTTGAGATGCACAAAACTAGACCAACAATTGAAATAGGCGGAACAACCAAAGTAAAACAATGACTTCAAACCCTGCTTCAGCTTTCACAACATGTACAGGCTCATGTATAGGCTCGCAATATCAGAGGAGCTTGTAATATCAATTTTAAGCATGATATTTTGTTACAATATGGAGTTCGACTATTTGCGAATGGATTATAAAAAAAAACATCGCAGTATGCGGGTTTTAGTTTTTCATGCCTCTCTTATTGAATGATCCAAGCTCCGAATTAAGTTCAATCATAAAACTATTGTAATTTCAATTCTAACGACCAAATTGTTGGCACTGGCTTCATATTTCACTGATATTGATCCGGAACATTTTCACTAATTGACAACGAGCAACAAACTTTAATAAAACCATGACATTCTTCAATTCAGAATCTCCTTTATTCACCTAAGCTTCAAATATCACGCTTTGCTTTTGAAAATCATATCTCTTGCACACACACAAACACGAACGCACTAGGAAAGTTGCTCAATCTTGAGCTGAAGATGCTGCGGATTCGCTTCGTCTGGAGCGTCCGTTGTGGCCGCCACCGCCTGGGGCGGTTGCATCGGTAAGTTGTCACCGTCATTGTCAACACCCGCTATGCTGTTTGTCGAGGCATCGACAGCTGTGGTTGCTGCAGACGGCAGCACCGCAGGCTGCAGTTGAATCAGTTTGATATCGGGGGCTTCCGGTTCCGGAAGGGCGGCTGTATTTTGGGGCGGTAGTTGAGGCGGCGGCGGCTGTTGATGAAGCAAGGGCGCTTGTGGAGGCATGTTCGGTGGTGGATTGGTGTAGTGGGTCGGGTAAGGATGGTGATGTGGAGGCATTTCGGGATAGGGAGGTTGCTGTGGAGGGTGGGGGTGGTGGTGATGATGATGCGATGGGTACTGATTGGGGTCGTGATTGGGCGGCGGTCCCATCATCACGTTCGGGTTGGGTTGATAGTGGGAGTTGTGAGGAAAGTCTGGGTAGGTGCCGTTGTTTAGCGCCGGAGGGATGTTGGAAAGGTGGTCCTGAGGGTGGTGGTGGTGATTTTGAGGAATCGGTTGAGGCGGACCGAGGTTTGGTGGAGGCGGAGGCGGAGGAGGTGGTTGCGGTTGGGATTGGTGTGAGAATTCATGTGGTCCTTTCATGTGAGGCGGGTGGTTGTGTACTCCGGTGGACGAGATCACCTGTCCGTGGTGGGTGATACAACGGGCACGGCACATCGAAACACGATAGGATTTGCACAACCAGTACGTCTTGAGACCTTGCTGGGTGGCCACCGTGTTGTTTCGATTAAAGATACAATTGTTATGCAGTAGCGAAGTTGACGAAAGCATCGTAATGCTCGAACCTGCGGAGAGATTAACTCATTAGCCGGCATTGTTCTGCCCTCGAAAAAAAAAACAACAACGAACAAATCCAAGCAGTGCAATGTTTTAGTGCATAAGCCAAGGCTAATTAGTGCATGGGGGAAAGTAAGAATCTACACTCAAAAACAAGCATAATTAATAGGGAAAACGATAATCATACAAAGTGAATTGATAATTTATGAACAAACATGCTACTGCCAACGAGTCCCACTTATCGCAGCAAGTGTCTAACTCATCATCACATTCCTGACCCATCCGTTGCCCGTCCAGAGGGAGAAAGCGCAGAAATGCCGATAAGTAGGTGATAAAGGATAAACCTTAAGACTTTCCGATAAACCTTCGAGCCGTTAGAGCGATAAGTCGAGCGCAGAATTTATTATACCGTCGCTATCTGCTATTGACTCGTTCGCAACTGTTCATCATTCCCTATCACATATACTCGGGCCGGTTGCGTTCATAAAATTTGTAAACAGTCAACAGCGTGAAGAAGCATTCGCTCGAAAGTAATTAAATTCGTTACTCTGATAATAACTTCTACATATTCGGTCTGTACAAAGTCACGGATTTGGCGTGTTTCCGGCTCAGTGTGCGATGATCATTTCACGAGAGCATGACTGAGATCATACTGGGTTTTATTTATCAGCCCCTAGCGCATAAAGGCCGCATGCCTTTCCCAGAGGTTACTTAATCATCGGGAATCCGCAAGCCGAAAAAGCGAAAAACGATCTTCGCCCAGAAAAGAGAACGATCATCTCCAAAAGCACACACACAGCTCGAAATGTCCTCATCGAAATGTGTACGTTCTGATAAGAATCCCACTCGGAAGCGAAGATGCTTCAATCTGCGTAGCGTTCTAAGTCGGTGGTGCTATCATCTGTCTTCCAAACATACACCGCCGCCGACGATAGTCCTCCGATCGAGAGCGAGTCGTATAACCGAAACAGGGTCACGCCATGTCATGATCTAGTTTTTTTCCTGCTTAGATACGGTTTCGGCTATTTAGGAATTTATTGAGTAATCCGAGCATGACGTGCTGTTCAATGCCGAATCGAAAATCAAGACACGGAGCTAGTTGCTCCGATCTCACATTATTCTCGGAAGACGCAATAGATAATCCGATGCCTGCCGGTTATTGACGTTCCAGAGTTCGAACAATCGATAAGCATTGATAAACAAGCAAATAGATCAACCGCTCGTCTCTCTCTCTGCTACGATCACTCCGACCGCGTGTAATCTGCTTATCTGAACTTTGTACAGACGTTCGCCTGCACCAAGGAGATCGTATGTTCGTCTTTCTAAACTAACCTATTAGCTCTAAACCTCATATACGTACACATATTATTGATAACAAACCGGTCGGAAGGAGGCTGTGCGCGCATCTTCTTCGATTCCCTAGTTTATTTTACCCTCCAATTTTACCCAGATAACGCGCTCCGTCTCTATTTGCTCTGCACCGTCCGCTGTGCCTGTGGTGATCCGATCTCTCTGTTTTGTTCTCGTGCTCCAATCCGGAGATGAATGCTTACAATCATGTATATGTAAGCAAGCAGAGCTGATCGTCTCGGTCTCCTTCGTCGTCGTCGTCGTCAACGACTATCGGCTATCGGTCTTCCAATCGGTGAGTGATCTGCCAATTGCGCCTCATCAGCTTCCTCTCCTATTCCTAAAGCCTTTATCCTTCTCTAATCTACGGCCACCGCTTGCGATCGAGACGATGTTTACACGCTGGTGGCGACTGTGCTGTAAACTTGCATCCTACAATTCGAAAAGATGTTATTCTTTCTAATTGTTATTTATATTGAGGCAGTTTTGCTTCAATATCATCACGATGATACAAGATGATGAGGAGAAGAGGAAAGGTCTCGCCAAAGGTCAGCCATAGAAACACAAGTATTAAGTATGTACGGCCGCTTGGCACTTAGTTTGTTTTGATTTCGGGGTCCGTTGCGCCTCTCCTCCATCGCAAACGAACAGCTTCCAGCTCAGACAAACAGACATTGCACTCGGATACTGTTCATCGAATAAGCAATTGACGGTAAATTTAAAGTTTGTTTAACCTTGGCGATTGACGTTTAAACACTGCTGAGCGTGCTATCCCAGAGATAAATGGTCCCTGTGTTATGTCCGTTTGTCTGTGGAGGGAACATGCTCTTGGCGAGCGTGCGATATTGACCAGTTTGTTGTCTTCGCGCGAATGATCGAAGAGAATCTTTCGTCTCTGAGTCTGGTCATATCAGAGGTATTATAGAGCAGAGCTTTTTCGGATGATTTACAGTCCTAATCAGCAGCTGCGTAGTTGGGTCGACACGTGGTTCAAGTTTTTATGGGATTTCTGTGAGAAAGGGAACACGCCAACAGCATTGCTGACTTTTTGAACGGATTGGACAGTCAGAAATATTAGGATACATCGACAGTGAGCATGCATAAAGTGGACCCTACACGACTGTTTGTATTGACAATAATCGTATTGTCAATATATTCTATATTGACGTCAATACATCGGTATTGACAATATTTTTGTATTCACATCATCAATATTATTGTCAATACTTGTAAGTATTGACAATATTTCTTACCGTGTGGGGTTTGCTTAAGGGCGTATACGCGATGATCGATTCTCTTAATCGATTTTCTCTTTGCTGTTGCTTTTGATAGCCAATATAACTTCGACAGTGAGCATGCATAAGGGCCTATACGCGATGATCGATTCTCTTCGTCGATGTTCTCTTTCGTTAATAACTCGCTAGATTTAACGTTTATCGGTGCGTTTGCTGTTGATTTTGATAGCCAATACAACCTGTGACTACTCTGCATTGAACAAATTCTAGAAAATTGTTTCGCTTAGCTGTAGCAATGCAAAGAGAAAATCGATGAAGAGAATCGATCATCGCGTATTCGCCCTTATGCATGCTCACTGTCGACTTGTTACAACTCAGCATTGAACAAATTCTAGAAAATTGTTTCGCTTAGCTGTAGCTATGCAAAGAGAAAATCGATCATGGCGTATTAGCCCTTATGCATGCTCACTGTCGAGGTTGTATTGGTTATCAAAAGCAACAGCAAACGCACCGAGAAAGTTAAATCTAGCGAGTTATTAACAAAAGAGAAAATCGATAAAGAGAATCGATCATCACGTATACGCCCTTATGCATGCTCACTGTCGATTTTTTGAAGATACAGCTCGGACTCGATTATCCGAAGTCATAATTTTATTTCTGTAGGAGTATTGAATTTGAGTAAGTGAGAACAAGAAGCCAGTGATGCATTAAGGCTCTCAAACAAATCTGAAGGCTGCTCAACTGGAGTTGCTCTTCTAGAAATAGAAAAAGCATTCGATAGTGTTTAGCATGAAGGTTTGATTGCCAAAATGAATTCCGCTCTGTATTATGGAATCAGTTCAAAATTATTTAACTGACAGAACTCTACAGGTAAATTATCAAAATTCTAAAGCTGAATAACTACCTGTTGGAGCAGGAGTTCGTCAGGGTAGCATTATTGGTCCTATATTGTATAAAATACTGAATTACCAGAGCAACAGAGGAACAATGCAAATAACCTTAGGGGCTGTTTATTAACTACGTAGATAGTTTTTTGAGATTCTTGAAAATTTTAAAATTTGTATGAGCCATGGATAATTGTCACCCCCCCCTAAACTGTCTACGTAGTTTATGAACAGCCCCTAGAGTAAAAAAACATTTTGAGCCAATTTGTGCTTGATGGAGATTAACAAAGTGTTCTAGAAAGGTAAGATGACGAAGGCATTCCGAGGTGACCGTACCATCCCATCCTGAGCTGTGAGGCACCATACCAGGTGATGCATTGCATAGTTGAAAATTTGATTTGAATTGAAGATTTTTAGAGCAAAACTTGATCAACCAGAAGCCTAGAAAACAAAGATCTCCAATCACCTGATGATCTATGAAATATTTTCGGAGCCATACTTTGCATCATGAAAGAATATCCGAGAGATCCCGAGTGATTTGAGATTTGGGCGTAATTGCTTTTGTACACAAACACGTCAATCGCCGATTTCTCGCGAATAAAAGCTCGATGTTGTAAACAAACTATACCAACTGACAGCGGAATCATGCCTCTACCTGTCAGTGTTATCAGTTTTCGGCAAGGGGTGAGACAGGTTTACTCTGAGTTGCTTTTTTGCAGCGAGTAACTCAATGTACCTCAATATTGTCTCTGCCTACTCCGTTTACTCTTTTTAAGCATACACACTTAGAAATACCTAATTTTACACGTGACGGAATCCATCTTTGACATAAAGGATGAGACGTAAACAAACATGTCATGTAAAATTAAGTGCTCCGAGACTGAAAAGTTCGTTACTCGACGAAAAGTACGTTTGATTGAGCTGAATTTCGCGTCTATTATAACTCAATTTCAACGTCAGTCTCAGAGCACCTAAATTTACATGAATTTTTCTAAGTGTGTAGGTATACTGCCGTTATACGCATAGCTGTCCCATGTTCTATGCAATCCTTATGCACCGTGGGCAGTATACGTCTCATATTAGACGTTAGTTTTGTTTGTAAATAAAGTAATCCCAAGTGTATCCTGAGCCTTTCGAATAACTTGAATTAAGGAAGAACCTGTGCCGGTGACTGCTTACTACTTTCAGCCCACACTTCCAACCAGCTTTAAGGGTTGTTCTTCCTCCTCAGCAACCAGTCCCAGTCGTAACTCCAAAAGGATCATCTCTGATTGAAAAAGCTCTCCAATATTCCTCTAAACATCTGGAATTCCACCTATAATGCAGCGATCCCATCATCTTCGATTTCTCCAGTCGTAACAGCAAGCCCATTGAAAAAGGCATCACCAGTCAATGTGGTAATAACTAACTCCGATCCTCTTTCGACTAACATTCCCGTTGGCACCATGGTAAACATTTAGTATTGAGCAATATTTCAGCCATGGCCCCTCCAACGGCACCCGCTGCCACAGTATCCGGAAAATATCTCCCCGGTGGGGC